CGCCTACAGTTCAGACCTATTGTCTTGTGTATGACCCTCTGTCCTGCGCGACAGTGAATACCACCATTATCCTCACTTTAATAAGACTTAGTCGAAATCCACAGATTAGGCAAAATTGTAATTAATTTTGTCAATAAAGATGTTAATACTAATAATAAATGCGAACGTTGGAAATATTGCTCCTGTGTTGCAGCAGCATGTTCGTGCGCTTGTACGTCTGTCTGCCTTCTTAGCTAACAATGCTTCTCTAACAGTAACCACGAGACGGTGCGCTCCAGATGTCATATGCTCCACCTGTTCGGCGTGTTGTTCCTGTTGTGTTTTAAAACTTCCTGATGTTCGAATCTTTGTCGAATCTGGCCTTAAAATGAACAGGATGAACAACCCAGCGGGGTTTCTTCCTATTGGGGAGTGTTGTACATGCTGCTATGGCGGTGTGTCCACTCACAGAATGAGTGGCGCTGCCCAATACTGTCACTATGGCGGTGTGTCCACTCACAGGATGAGTGGTGCTGCCCAATACTGTCACTATGGCGGTGTGTCCACTCACAGGATGAGTGGCGCTGCCCAATACTGTCACTATGGCGGTATGTCCACTCACAGGATGAGTGGCGCTGCCCAATACTGTCACTATGGCGGTGTGTCCACTCACAGGATGAGTGGCGCTGCCCAATACTGTCACTATGGCGGTGTGTCCACTCACAAGATGAGTGGCGCTGCCCAATACTGTCACTATGGCGGTGTGTCCACTCACAGGATGAGTGGCGCTGCCCAATACTGTCACTATGGCGGTGTGTCCACTCACAGAATGAGTGGCGCTGCTCAATACTGTCACTATGGCGGTGTGTCCACTCACAGAATGAGTGACGCTGCTCAATACTGTCACTATGGCGGTGTGTCCACTCACAGGATGAGTGGCGCTGCTCAATAAACTCGCCCCTCGGGGCAAAATATAAAATTTAAATCTGGCCTTAAAACTGCGGATGGAGGTGGCTTCCATAACTTATTCTTTCAGTGCATTCCAGTTATTGACTGTGTGTGTGTATACTCATCTATTTGTGCTTGCGGGGGTTGAGCTCTGGCTCTTTGGTCCCGCCTCTCAACTGTCAATCAACTGGTGCACAGGTTCCTGAGCCAATTGGGCTCTATCATATCTACACTTGAAACTGTGTATGGAGTCAGCCTCCACCACATCACTTCCTAATGCATTCCATTTGTTACCTACTCTGACACTAAAAAAATCATTCTAATGTCTCTTGTGGCTCATTTGGGTACTCAGTTCCCACCTGTGTGTCCTTGTTCGTGTTCCACTCATGCTAAATAGTTTGTCTGTGTTCACCCTGTCAATTCCCTTGAGAATTTTATAGGTGGTGATCATGTCTCCCCTTACTACTCTTCTGCCTTCCAGGGACGGGAGGTTTAACTTTCGCAGCTTTTCCTCGTAGTTTATACCTCTCAGTTCTAGGACTAATCTGGTGGCATCTCTGAATCTTGTTTGTTAGTGAGTGTGTGCGTGTGCGTGTGTGTGTGTGTATTCACCTATTTTTACTCATCTATTTGTGCCTCCAAGATCGGGTATTAGCTCATGGAGCCCGCCTTTCTAGCCGCCAGTTGTCCGAACTCTTGGCCTGTTTCCCTATCATATCTACTTTTAACATTATGGACGGAGTTTGCTTTCATAAGCTGCTCCTTTAGTTCATTCCATTTCCCACTACTCTTACGCTAATTGAACACATTCTAACATTTCTATAACTCATCTGAGTCTCAAGCTTCCACCCATCCCCCCCCCCTGGGTCTATTGGTAATCATCGTGCACATTTCCTATTTTTCCATTCTGTCATGCCTTCTTAAGTATTTTATAATTCTTTGTCAAATATTCCCTCTCTCTCTTTCTCTCTCTCTCCCCTTTTTATAGCGTTGTCAAGTTTAGTTTAATTCTTTCAATCTCTCCCCTAACCCCATCCTTCGCAATTCTGGGACGAGCTTCGTCACAAATTTCTGAACCGTTTCTAGTTTCCTTGTGTGTTTCTTTAGGTGAGGGAGGTCCATACTGGGGCGGCATACTTTAAGACTGGTCTCAGGTCTCAAAATGATTTTGATTGATATACCACGCTATTGTGATTCCATTGTGATCTGAGTGAGGCATAAGAGTGTGAGCGCCATTACAGTAGGCCAGAGTGTGGTCGGGTCGATTGTCAAACCCTGGTTGGGCTTTGGTTCGGGGCCTCCAGAACCTGCCAGACAACTCAGTAGAGTTCTAGGTTGGTCGACTGTTGTACCATCGTGGCCGAGTCGGTTAAGGCAGGCGTCTGGGAATCACTGGAACGCGAGTTCAAGTCACTCCAATGCCTCAAAATGATTTTCATTGATATATCACGGCATTAGTCGATTGTGACTTGAGAATGGTCCAGGACGGACCGAAACGTCGTCGTCCCTTCACTGTCTAGTGTGTGGTTTGGTCAATATATTATATATTATTTATATATGTGACAAATGTCAGTCCACGAAGGAAAGATTAAGACAGGAATTTCCTTAAGTACTTTCGTATTTAATAATACATCTTCAGAAGGATGGATTTACAGATCAGTGGGTTGGATATATAGGCAGGAAAGAGGTAAGTAAGGTACAATGTCTTTAATGAGATAAGGGGATATTAATAAGGAATTAGTAAGATAAATGTGTATCATTGATCCTACTCAAATCGCCCTTTAACTGATCAATCAAAAATGAATCTAAATTATACAAACCTCTGCTAATGTTCAAATTACATGAATTTGTAATCTGTATTAAAGCAGATTCAATTATGTTCCTATTGAAAATGCTTTTATAATTCGTTACTGAAGAAGCCATCTCCCAATCAATCTTGTGAGAACTTTCTGACAAATGAACAAACAAAGCAATAGACAACGGGACCAAAGAGCCAAAGCTCAACCCCGGCAAGCACAATTAGGTGAGTACAGCGGGGCATGTCTTACAGACTATTCATGTTGCGAAATTCTAAATTTCAATTCTTTAGATATTTGCTCAACATAGAACCTATTACAGTCTGTACAATGTATGTTATAAATGACAACTATCACCACGAGAACTGTTTAAGTTTTTCCAACAGTATTTTCTTAATTAAACAATATATGTATATCATAAAGTTACCAGGCCTTGATAATATTTTCGAATCCAGAAAAATATGGTAAACAACACATTTTTGGGTTGAATTCAGTAACAAATTGAATATTTCACGAGAGGTGTTCAAGTTCAAGTATGTTTATTGAGATAAGCAAGAAATACATCTCAAAGGGATAGAGTAGCTTAGGCTATTTCTACCCCCCTTATGAGAGGTATAACCTACACCTAATCATGAAATCCTAGTCAACAATATTTATTATCAACGTAATTCGGATTCACCTAACCTTGCTAATCACCTTGCTGCAAAACAATATTGAATCAATATTGAAGAATATTGCTGCAGAGTTTGGTGTTACGTTGAGTGATGGATTATTAATATTATTGACTCTAGGAACTTTTTATAAGAACATTAACGTAACCACATAGTCATTTAAGGTGTAACTAATAAACAAATCCACAAGGGCCGTGACGAGGATTCGAGCCTACGTCCGAGAGCATCCCAGATGCTGCCTTAATCGACTGAGCTACGACATGGTAACAGAATTGTAACCAGAAGTTCTACTGAACTTAATTGGATCCTGCATCCTCTCCGAGACATAAACCAGGATTTTACACAATTCCCCCATGCATGTACAGATGTACAGTGCATGGTGTAATTGTGTAAAATCCTGGTTTGTGTCTCGGACCTATGGGACCTATGAGGGGCGAAAGCACCAAGCCATTACGACTATATAGCACTGGGAAGGGGTCAGGATAAGGATTTGGGATGGGACGGAGGGAAGGAATGGTGCCCAAACACTTGGACGGTCGGGGATTGAACGCCGACCTGCATGAAGCGAGACCGTCGCTCCACTGTCCAGCCCAAGTGGTTGGTTATGTCTCGGAGAGGCTGCAGGATCCAAGTCAGTTCAGTAGAACCTCTGGTTACAATTCTTTTACCATGTCGTAGCTCAGTCGATTACGCCAGCGTCTGGGATGCTCTCGGACGTAGGCTCGAATCCTCGTCACGGCCCTTGTGGATTTGTTCATGTGATGCATCACACTATTGTGATTTCTGTGTGTAACTAATAAGTTTATATGTAAGCGGGACGCAGGAAGTCACAGGTGACAGCGTCACGTGACCTGGGCCACAAGTGTCTTGAAGTTTGCCATAAATTATGTGTGCAATACTTCTTGAAGATGTGTTGAACAAGATATTGACCAAGTGTCTCATTTTCTGTTGTATAATTTGTAAACATGTAAAAGATAAAATAGAATTTACTGTCTATTTACGCATATATGATCTAAATGTACAGTTCTTTCATCCCAGGAAGACAATCAAAGACTCTCGAGGTTCAAGTGAAACATTTGACTCATTTATAGATTTTATTATAAAACTACACAATATACAAACGTATAGAAAATATAGATGTACAGTTTATACAGGATGGGGGGGGGGGTGATGGCGGGAGTATAGGGCCTTCCTGTTCAACCTTATACTCAATATATATTAATGGCACAAACTGATTCTCCTGCCTGTTGATGCTCGCACAAGCTCATTGTCTACTACCGAACTCGCATCCAAATAGATATATATATATTAGTATATTTTGGGAGCAGGTGTTCTCTAATATACACGTCATTAAACACAACAATATTGTGACTATTATTAATATTTTTTTGTGGTATTTTCCATTCTACGCAAATACCGTCTACCATCTGGAGGGTGAAGACACTAAATCATTTAATCTTTCCATTTTCATTGTTCAATGTTGCTCCATTGTCTCAAAATGAATTTCATTGATATATCATGCTATTGTGATTATATATCACAAGATATATTGATATATCTTATAATATTCATTGATATATCATGCCATATATATATATATATATATATATATATATATATATATATATTTATTACAGCGAGTTTAGACACGCGTATTCCTTAAATATCAGGATTTACACACACTTTAAAAAAATATATAAATATGTACATTATATTCACTCATATTTTCACACACTTGCCTTCGGGTACACACACACACACATACACACACTTCACACACACACACACACACACACACACACACACACACACACACACACACACACACACACACACACACACTTCACACGACTATTCATCCTAGTCCTCACCAATATTATCACTCTTGGGCACTCACATAAACTTAACACGCTCTTTGATTCGTTCTTATCCACACATGACTGTCACTTACATATACGTACACACATGACTGTCACTTACATATACGTACACACGTGACTGTCACTTACATATACGTACACACACTAGGTCGCTGTAAGGCGGGCGACTCGACACACTTGTGACACATAATGGGTCTGGTTAATGGACGGGGGATGCCCATTGGATACATTAAACCTAATTACTTGTGGCACACACGGGTCTAATCCTAAGTCAGTGACGCATAACAACTGCGTTATAATAAGGTAATTGGTTCTGTATAAGTAGATTGGCTGCAGGTGAAATGTTGTTTTCAATTTATAATTGCAAAAGAAAATCGATTACACAAACGCATATTTAATAAAGCGGTAAATTAAAATTGGCAAATAATAAAAAATCTCTTTGTTAAGGTGACGCGTGCTGGGGTGTGCTCACCTAGTTGTGCTTGCGGGGGTTGAGCTCTGGCTCTTTGGTCCCGCCTCTTAACTGTCAATCAACTGGTGATAAATATTTGTCTGGTGGCCCCAAACACTTCACACGGCCAGTATTTACACACATTTTTCCTTCCCAGAGACGGAGTGACGAGTTTTAAGTTAGTGTTGAGCAATAATATTTTTAATAACCTCGAAGGGTTATTAAGGTCATGGTTTATTAAACAATCATTAAGTTCACTTCAGTTCTGAGCAATGTTTAGGACTAACAACTCTCGGCGTGAATAGTTGAGCTGAGGAAAAGAAATCAAAACTTTTGTCTTTTTTTTGTTGTGCTACAACTTTTGTTGTTAGGCATAAATGCTTAACAACATTTAGTTATGGGATGACACTCAGGGAGGTGTCTGAGAGCTCCGCCTCCAAGACCAAGAGCTAATACTCAAGTCTTTTATTGCCATGATGACAAAGTCAGACAATTCAGAGGCGATATGGCAACTATTCAACATCACGCGCGGGAATTCATTTCAGAGTGAAACCTATATAAAATTAACCAAATCACAAGCAAGAAGGCCATAAGGTCCAGAACCTCACAAGGACTGGTGAGAGCAGGAACTGTGTTGACTAGCATGTGTAAGAGGCGAAGACAGTTCTATCACTCCTTCCTCATGAGTAGTGAAGCCTAAGACTCGGCGGCTTCTATGTAATGACACTAAACGAATATTTGTACATGTGTTTGTTCTTAGTGCAGGTGGAACAACCTGTCCGGGAACACTGTCCGGGAACACTGTCCGGGAACACTGTCCGGGAGTGTTGATCGCTAGTCCGGGAACACTGAACAGGCAGCGCCTTCTTATACTTTCTTACGGGTAATTTGATACAAAAAATCTGTTACACAATCCAAAGATTTCTTTAAGTTCCGAGGCCTAACGGCGTGCTGGAACAGTGAAAGTCAGTAGTACAACAGAAGACAACTGCTGGTCGGTAAGGAAGCCATAAGCTTCAGGCACTAGAAGGTGGGATGGACACGGTGGTGGAGGCACTAATTAGGAGGCACAGCAGGAGAGTGGGAAGGGCGTGGTATGAGGGGCTCACAGGCACTGGTAGGGGAGGCTCGGGTAGTGCATGTACTGCGGGTGGGCGGCGCCAGGAGTGAAGGTGCCGCCCACACTGACGCTGGCGGTGCCCCAGATGTCCGCCTCGCTCGTCTGCCCGCAGTAAGACGACGGCGGTGCCAGGGCGCCACCCGTGTACATGCTGACGTCGGCGGGGACCTGTTGGCTCACGGGGGCGCCGCTCACGCCCACACTTACACTCAAGTGCTGCGGGTGTGTGGGCGCGTGTGAGTCTAAACCCTTGAGTGTTTCGCTGAGTGCCCATATGTAGTTGTGGGCAAAGCGGAGGGTCTCGATTTTGGTCAGTTTGGTGTCGTCAGGCGCGGTGGGTAAGACAGTCCGCAGGCGGTCCAGCGCGTTGTTCAGCATGTGCATGCGATGCCGCTCGCGGTCGTTTGCCTTCATGCGGCGGTTGCGTCGCACGCGAGCGACTTGCTGGGGGCTTCTGGTCCTGCCACGCCCACCGCCACGCCCACCTGCCTTGCGCCGTCTGTTGTCCTCTCCAGGCTTCTTCTGTTCTTCTTTTTCGAAGTCATCGTCGCCATCCTCATCTTCCCCCATGGAGTCGTCCGTCGTGTCCTCCTCCTTCAGGGGCATCACGCCCATCTCCTGCAGCAGCCCTGAGAACCCGCAAGACTTGGCCACGTCGGGGCTCTCCTTCACCAGTGGTGGGGACGAGCAGGGGACGAGGTGGGCGAGCTTGCTGCTGGCGTGCTGTGTAGAGGGCGTGGTCTTGGGCGTGCACGCTGACGCACAGGTGACGTGAGGACTCTGGGAGAGGCCGTGGGAGGGCGAGGTGGCGGCGTGGGAGGGCGAGGTAGTGGCGTGGGCGGGGCGGCTGGGAGAGGACGCTACCACCACTGGACACCCCCGAGTGGGCGACGGTACGGTCTGTTGGTAGGTGGTCCGCAAGGGAGAGGTGAGAGCCATGGTGGGTCGGGCGTGTGTGGGCGTGCCGCGGGCGTGAGTAGTCTTTGCAGGAGTTGACCGGAGAGGAGACGACATCACGGCTGAGGAAGGTGTTGCCACCTGAGGGT